AAAATTAAAATGTTGCTGTTTTTCCTAGCATGTCTCAATTGAATGCTTGGTTTCCACTACAATTGTTTCACTTCATATAGCAAAGCTTTCAGTATCTGATGTAACAAGGAGTTCTAACTCTTCCATAGGTTGTTGTAGAACCTGATGTTAATTTGGACTGAGAGAGCATGACTGACGCAAGATTAGCCAGCTGGCTTCTATGCCTCTCCAAGGGATTGATTCTGGGTTTCTCTTATTTTGCTACATCATCTTTAACCACTATACCAGGGCTGTCAAACTCGTATCACATGCTAGCCATGCTCATGACCAGTTTAGCAAAGGGGGAAAAAGTCACAATACATCATGTGACAACACAAGCTTGACACCCCTGCACTATACAGTACTAGCATTCTTCAGTAAGAAATAAACTCAAATTTCTAACGTGTATCAGAAAAGGACCCATTATGACTTCCGGTTTCGCCAGGCTTCGGAGGCGGCGGGGTTTCGCGATCTCTGCGATCCCCGCCGCGCTAGCCGTTCTTGGTTCCTCCGACCCAGACGGGTCTGGAGGATAAGGTTGCCCCGTAGAGGCAACCGAAGACAGGGAGGATCCGGACAGGGGGTTGGGGTGTTCGCAGACCCCTTCCCCACCCGGTACAACCTCCTTTTCTCAAGTCGGTCCAGCGGCGGTCAGCAATGGCCGCCACAAAGAAGCCAGCAGCTGGACAAGATCGTGCTGGAGGAAGAAGGAGAAAGTTTTGAAGCGAAATTTTTTTTGGCTGAACTGGGACTAGAAGATACATTTAATACCCTGAAATCTAAGATTTGGTTTGTTTTTTTTTAAAGAAAAGGACCCATTATTTTTATAACACTAACAAGTTGATAATCCATAACAGAAGCTGAACAAAATTCAGCACTCAAAGTTTAAATAACCCTCCTCAAATTTCTTTACAATCAGATTCTCCTTCAAACATACAGGTTTTAAAAACACTGGTCAAATTGAAAGAATGAATGCAGGTAGAGGTTAACTTTTTCCTTCTCTCGTTGCAAATGCTGAAACTTGACTTGTTGCAGTAGAAACCCCATTCACTTATGCCAATGGTCTTATTCTTCTAAACACAAGTATCAGCTTTAGAGTAGGGATTCATTTCAGCATTATTGCAGGAAAGAATTATATCTGTCTCCTCATCTGCTATGATCTCATTTATTATCAGTTCTTCAAACTATCCTAATAATATTGGCATTATTTTAAACACATGCAGGTTTAAACTCATTTCGGATTATATCTACTTCAGTCCTAAGAATAACATAAGAATACAATATAATTGCTTCACTTTAGGGCTAAGATATAAGAAACAAAAGTTTCCCTAGATGTATAGGCAAAAACTGCTGCATTATTGGATCCAACAACTGAACTTCCAAGTAAATAGCCAGATAGATATCCCAGTCATCTTAAAACACTATCTTCAATGATAGAAACAAAGAGCATTAGCATTCTTCTATTCATTCTGGTTTATATGAACATGTATTTGAATGTACTTAGAAAAGTTTAATTAGTAAACAAAGCTTCTAAAGAGATCCATTTTGGTATAATGATTACAGATACCTGGCTAGAAACCAGGATATCGAGAATTCTAGCCCTGCTTTCAGCAAAGCTGACTTAGTTAGTTAGGGTTAGTCACTTTCTTCTAGCCCTAGGAAGGCAGCAATGGCAAACCACTTCTGAAAATGTCCCAAGAAAGCCACATGGACTTCTTCAGGCAATTGACAAGAGTGCAGACTGACTTGAAGGCACTAAAAAAGAAAAAAAATATTCATTCTCTGAGTTTTATAGCTCTGCCAAGCAAGCAGATGAATGGATGAGGAAATTTAACAGGGAGTCCAATGATATTAAGAGTTATATTACTATAGGTAGTCCTCACTTAGCAGCTCTCTCAGTGACTGTTTGCAATTACAATGATGGAAAAATAATTTTGCAACCAATGTTCACATTTACCATTTTCACAGCATCTCTTTTTCTCAGTCAGGTATTCACATTATGGTCAATTAGTATACCTCGTTCTGTATAAAATCATAAGCATTTGCAATCACGTGTTTTTTCTCTTAGCAACCACTTTGCTCAATGACTGAGCTATTAGACCTAATTGCAGGCACTAAGTGAGGACAACTGTAGAAACAATTTGATTTTCATGGTATAAGGAAAAATACCATCAGATTTCTATCTGATTGATGGCAATGCAGTTTAGAACAAAGGCAATGTAGCTGAATGAACATTAAATTGTGTAAGCAACGCCACACCATTCTGAACATATTCAGGAATGGTCAAAATGCAATACACAGTAAGAGACACAGTTCTTGAAAGCACTAGTGCTGGATTTTATTGCACATGATTGCAGATCTTTTAACCTGAAAGACATTTAAAGACTGAAGCTGCAGATGAGACAGGGACATTTTCTTAGAGAATTGGAACTGGGTGCCCTAGTTGTTGGTCTCCCTTGTGCCAATTAAGCTCTGAATATCTCAATTAGAATTTGGCAAGAGGAAAAAGAAAAAAATGACAATCCTAGGATTTGTAAGAAATGCTATGTGCCATTTTTCTATGTTTGATTCTACTTTTAAAAAATCCTATTCCACCTTTTAATATTATTGTACAGAAGTATGTATTATCTATAAATGTACTGAAATAGCTAAAAATAATTACATAGCAAACAATGCATGGAGGGACAAATTTAGAAAGTGGGCCAAATAATTGCTTAGAAAACTCTTGATCAAATTGTTTTGTACTGTTTTTCTTAAAAATAAATTGCATTGGATTACAATCTTAAACTACCAGCTTGTATATTAAAATGTACAGAACTTATTCTATTCTGAGCATTCTCTCTGGAACATCTTTTGTGATAAAAATATAAAATGTAAACGAAGTATCTTGGAAGCAATGACCAAGAAAGAAGAGACAAAAATTGGAATGAAGCGATGTTATTTTATTAATCAGGTTCACTTGGAGCACAGGAAACAAAAATGTTTGTTTTTGTCACAAGCACCACGTACGGGTAATAAAACCTCTGCAAGAAAACAATCAAACTTAGAGAGCATCAAGGACGCCTCATTTCAACTCTGAGCTACAAATATTCTTCGTTATTGGTACAAAAATGTTTGTCTGGACTTGGCATCTGAAAAAAAAATGACCAAGCTCTGTGTATTTCTCCAATAAAAATATTCATATCCTTGGGATATGAATGAGAAACAGTTCTTGAACCAAACTAACTACATTAATTTTGTAATGAAGCAATCAGGAACTGTGATTTTCCATTATTTTACAGAATGGAATGAAGGTTTCTCCAATAACTAGTCTTCTTCAATTAAAATATTCAGATTTAGGATGCTGCATTAAGAGACAATCTTGTACCAGGGAATCACACTAGAAAAGGCCAGAGCTACCATGTTTAGCTGGAGAGAATTAAATTTGGAGAGAACAGTACATGGCTCACAGTATTCTTGACTGGGTGGTAAAGAAAAGTTATTCTCCTACAGCTGCAAGTCTTTTAACATAGCAGAGGGGAAACAGGAATTTTAAAGACACCTAAATATTATTTTTCTATAAGAAAAATTAATGATTTAGATTTGAAGAAAAAAAATACTCCTTTCAGGAAAATATTTCTTAGAGATAAAAATGCTGAGGGAAAAAGGAAGAAACCTGGAAAAGAAGAAAGGAAATACATTTGGTGTATATGATACAGAACAACTATCAGTGAAAATCATCTTGTATTTTGAAAGATTCTTAGTTGGAAATGGGAATTGTCTCCAAGTTGCTGCCCTACAAACACATTGGATTAGAACTGTTTTGAGTCATTATGATCTTCAGTCATCAGAAATCATATTGGCTGGGGTGTACAATCAATAAATTGTAGGAGACCAAGATGAAGCACCAAAAACTTTAAGCTCCTCTGAATAGTTACGGGAAAAGGCAGCATAAAAATATTTGAAATTAAAAAAATAAGTTTGCAGGAATCAAAGCCAGTAATTATTACCACAGAAATATGATAGTAATATTTTAGAATCCTGAGAGAGCACAGAATAAGTGGCATGGATTGGGACATTAAGCAGGACAGTTGATAAAGAGGAAAAGGGAGAAGAAGAAAAATCAAGTTAACCAGAAGAGATGGGGAAGAGGAACAGAGACCAATGTCAAAGAGTTGCTTCTCAAGAATTTCTTATGAAAGGGAGGTCTGGTCCTTAATTAAAGCTCATGTTGCTTTACTTTTGCCTAACAATAGCTGAAGAAATAATTAAGGCAGAGATTTTAGTTCAGCAGAGGACATGCTACCCTTTCCCCTGCTACTTTAATTATGTGCCAATGGTGACAGTCAGAAAGTTATCTGAACCGAGCTTCCCACCCCACACTAAGGGGTGGGGGGGGGGAGATCACCTGCTCAGATGTTGCCTATCTTAGTTAACAGATAACAGATAATCAGAGTTGGAAGGGATCTTGTAGGTCATCTAGTCCAACCCCCCGCCCAAGCGGGAGACCCTACACCATTTCTGACAAATGGCAGTCCAATCTCTTCTTGAAAGTCTCAAGGGATGGCGCTCCCACAACTTCCGAGGGCAAGCTGTTCCATTGGTTGATTGTCCTCACTGTCAGAAAGTTTCTCCTTATTTCCAGGTTGAATCTCTCCTTGTTCAGTTTCCATCCATTATTCCTTGCCTGACCTACAGGAGCTTTAGAAAATAGCTTGACCCCTTCCTCCCTGTGGCAGCCCCTCAAACATTGGAAGACCTCTATCATGTCTCCCCTGGTCCTTCTCTTTACTAGATTACTACCGTACTAGTTAAAAGACAAAGTTGGAAAGACCGGGGCCCCAGCTTGGTCGGTGGAGCAGCTCCGTGGTTACTATGCAGGGGAGAGACACGGAGTCCGGGATCGGACCACGGAAGGCACGAAGGGAAAGAAGCTTCTCCGGGGAGGGGGTCTATCAGAAGTGCGAGTCATAGCCTAGAAAGGATGGCGGGCAAGGCGTTACCTTGGGGGGCAGGCTGAAGAGGATGGGCAGCAGCAGCAGCGGAGCGCACAGAAGCACCAAATAGCGGCGGATACACCACACTTTCTTCACTACGGCTCCCAGCGCTGCCATACCCTGACAAAGACCCCACGGGACCGGCTTAAAGGAGACCGGCCGCAGAGCCGGGACAGAGGTTTTATCTCAAGGGAGGGGGAGGAGGGAGAGGCAGGGTTTTTCCGGGGGAGGGGGGATTAGCGGGCCGGACCGGAGCAGGGAGGTGTTCCAACCGATTCCTGCTCCGTCCCAGCCCTCGAGCCCCACAAGACGAGCCTCCAAAATGTCGTTGGCTCCGCCTGAGGGCCAGCCCTCTCACGCCGTCTCTTACTCGCCCGAGAAGAGGAATCGAGAGGGCGGATCGGCGCCGCAACAGTCCCTGCTGAGGCGGCGCCCGGCTCTTTTTTAAAAGGGTGCTGGTTGGTTCGTGGGAAGGCGGCGAGAAAAGTGGCAGCGTGGTTCGGAAGTGCAGCGGGGTGATGAACCTCAGCCCTGCTCCACCCAACCCTGGCAGATCTCGTCTTCTGACATCAGTCTGCCCAACGGTGGCTGTCGTTTTCGAGCAGGGATTAAATATAAGTGGTCCTCTACTTCATACAGTTCGTTTAGTGACTGTTCAAAGTTACAACGGCACTGAAAAATGTGGTTTATGACCATTTTTCACACTTAGGATCTTGGTGACATCCCCATGATCATGTGATCAAACTTCAGATGCTTGGCAACTGGTTCATACTTATGACCGTTGCTGTGTCATGTGATCACATTTTGCGATCTTCTGACAAGCAAAATCAATGGGGAAGCCAGATTCACTTAATAACCAAGTTACTAACTTATCAACTGCAGTCATTCACTTAACAAGAAGAGTCATAAAACGGGGCAAAACTCAGTTAAATGTCTCACTTAACAAGTTTTGGGCTCAAATGGTCATAAGTCAAAGACTACCTGTACTTGAGTCCGTCTTTGCCCTTCTTCCATATTTCTCTAGTTCTGTTCATTCCATTTTTGTGGAATTCACTACTGGGTACTTTATCAAATTTATAGGCTGCCCATCTTACCTGAAGGTAACTCTGGCTGGCTTACAATCATGAGAAATAACTATATAAACTACAAACATAAATAAATTAGTTTAAAATGCAGAACTTCATGGCTCAATTAAAAAGGGGGGAGCAGGATGGGGAGAGGTGGGAGCTATTGTTGATTGATCAGAGGGACACTACAGTTTCCTGGGTCTGTTAGGTGACACTTTCATAGAGGAGACTTGAAGCATGTCCACCCTGGCCCAGATCTCACGGGACAGGCAAAAAATTAAAAAAAAAAGCAGTCTGTCAAATAATTGAGCCCTATTCCATGAATAGTTTTAAAAGCAGTAACTTAAGTCTTTGAATTGCACCTGGAATTTTGTAGGAAGCTAACACAATTTGTGGAGCAGCAGCATTATATAGATGTGCTATTGTGAAGCCATATTTTCTGCACTGCCATATTATGGACCAGTTGCAAATGTCTACATGTTCTTTTAGGGCAATCCCATGGACAGTGCACTTCAATAATTCAAACAGGAGATGAATGGATGATAGCAGGGTTTCCTAACCTAGGAACAAGAATAATTCTTACACAAGATAGATTTGCATCTTGACATGGTACTGTTTGCTCTTCCAACAAGAGCCAGGAGTCCCAAAGGGACCCCCAAATTGCACAATAATTCTGAATTCAAAACTAAAGATTAAATGTCCCCAGAATCAGGACACCCCAAGCCAATGCCAGTCAATCTAGAAATTATGGGGCCTGATGTCCAACATAACTGGAAGAGTGAGGCAAGCCCATGCAGAATCATCAAATTCCAAAGTGACAATATAGATTGTTATCTTTTGTCTGTGTTTTGTCTCTGTTTGATAAAAATAAACCTAATCATTTATGTATTGATTTTTGTCAGATTTCTAGACCAAAGCAACTCTGATCAGCTTCATGAGATTTAAAGAAACAGTAATATCTGAAAGGATAAAAAAACAAAACATGTTTCAGAGTTTCGGTCATTGTTTTTTTTGCCTACCATTTAAAATATGCTATATATCATCTAGAGTCATTGCATTGATTGAGGCAGCTCATAAATTGAACAAATAAATAAGTAAATGCTTACAGTACATTCAGAACCAAATATATATACGGGAAAGGTTGAATTTGTAATCATATAACAAAATTTAAATTGCAGCATTATAATTTAAATCAAGCATCACAATCATCAATGCAAATGGAAAGGAAGATACAAAATCCTACATGTGATGGAGTAGTTAGAATACACATTCTCTTCTGTCCCAAAAATACCAATAAGAATAGCACTTAGACTTACATACAGCTTCATAATGCTTTATAGCCCTCTAAGCGGTTTACAGAGTTAGAATATTGCCCCCAACAATTTGGTGCCTCATTTTACTGATGTCAGAAGGATGGAAGACTGAGCCAACCTTGAGCTGTTCAAGATCAAACTCCTGACAGCGAGCAGTGAGTTGACCTGCAATACTTCATTTTAACCATTGTGCCACCATGACGCATCTTAAGGGATAGAATGAGAGATTTATTGAGATGTTTTGTACTGTATTGGTATTAACTAAAAACTTTCATTTTGCACACAACTGGCAAGAAGCGAATCAAGATGAGTTTAAGATGAACCACCAAAACCCAAAAGCTACTGAGAACAATGGGAGACTATTGAATGAAATGAAGGGTTAAAGGACAGCATAACACATATATGTCAAAGGTTATATATAAACAGTTGATAAGGCATTCTGTAAACAAACAGTTGTTTGCAAAAGACTAGATGTGTATACTTAAGTTACTTTGTTAAATGAATATTTGTGTTACAGTGCTTCTATTTATTAATCTATTTAGGATATGATCGTATGGTCTCTGGCCATTCACTTATTCTGGTGGCAGCCAGACAGTGTTTCATCCTCTTCTACAGAATAAGGAAGCACTGATTCTACACTGAGACTATTTGGCAACAATTGACCATGCTGGTCTTGTGTAACAAAGTTCCTTCTATTTGAAAAGATCTTAGCCAGAATCTGTGCAAATGTCAAAGCTGTATTACTAGGGCTAAGACAGCAGGTACATTTTCCATGTCAAAGGCTAACTTACATATTTAAAAAAAGCATTTCAAGAGTTTTCTCAGGGGAAAAAAGAAGGAAAAATGTTTACATTTATTGCATCTACTAAGCCAGGATGTAATCATAGCTTGTGTTAGGGAAATTCCAGAATTCATAGGGGCATTTGAAACTATATGGGCATGCCTTGAAAAAAACTCATTCTATAGGGTCATCCATTCTTCAGACAATTATCAAATATTAATCCTTTTTTACATGCACAACATGAGCTGTCTGAATTAAAGTAAATCACACAAAACAATGGAGTTATTTCTGCTTAATATGAGCTGGACATTTAGACTCATACAACATTTTTAAATAACCCAGTTGGACATTATGAATATGTCTAAATGTTGGGTTTATAAATGTGTCTAAATGTGCAGATAAATTTATTTTATTTATTTATTTGATTTGTCACTCACTTACAAGATAATAGGTATAAGTATAAACATGAGTAAGAATACAGGAAATAGATATGAATAAATGGGGACAATATGACAGGGATGGTAGGCACGACGGTGCACTTATGCACGCCCCTTGCATCTTAGATCCAAGGATTTATTTACACATGTTCACTTATTTTATGCATGTAAGGTGATGTGTGCAGCAAAAAGGTATAATTTAAGAGATTTGTTTTGTTCCCAAAGCTTGCCTAATAAAATAACAATTTATACATAAGCAAACCTTATCATAACTGGAATGTTACAAAAAATCAGCCATCACAGCTTTCCAGTACCATAAACAGAGAGAAAATTGACAATAGGGAGGCAAAACAAAACCAGTCATTTCAACAAGGGAGTTCGTTAGAGAATCTCAGCTACAGGCAAAAAGAAAAAAATATCACACAGGCAAAAAGAAAAAAATATCATGCCATGTTTTATCATGAAATAGAAGAAGAGATCAAAGCATAGAAAGATAAGAGGGCGAGGGACAATTATCAGCTGGATTTGCCTTCTGTCTCACTGATGTTTACAGTCAGAAAAAAAAACTTTCCACAGTAAGAAAACAAAATAACTTCTCTCTTTTCCCATTTTTATATTACACATAATAGATCTTAGCACTTGTTCTAGACTTTAATAAATAAACCTTGTAACTGTGACAGACAAAAGTAAGATTAGACAGAAATCAAGCTTTGTTCTTCCTATATAACTATCCAGCAAGAGAGATGGAAGTACTTGAGGGAAGGAATAGAATTATATAGTAGCTGTAAAGCAATTCCATCACAGTGAATTGAAACTGCAACTTACATTGGAGGTGCACAGGAAAGGCTCAATTGGATAATTATTGGATTAATTTGGAAAGAAGGAAATCCTCAATTCACAATACAATCACAAATGAAACTTCTTCTGGGCGGCATCTCAGAATGCCCTGTTGATTTTGGAAAATTGTAGTGCCAGGTAAGCTATGCTCACCTTTTTGGAATAGGATCTTTTCCAACTGCTGATCTACAGCATTACCTGCAGAAAAAACACTATTAGTCCTACTATACTACTGCCTCCAATGTTGATCCCTATTCAGTTTCTATTGTATTTGTTCCCAGTCATGCCAGTATTAAGAGCCTCCGTGACGCAGTGGTTAGAATGCAGTACTGCAAACTACTTCTGCTGACAGCCAGCTGCCTGCAATTTGGCAGGTCGAATCCCACCAGGCTCAAGGTTGACTCAGACTTCCATCCTTCTGAGGTGGGTAAAATGAGGAGCCAGATTGTTGGGGAAAATATGCTGACTCTGTAAACTGCTTAGAGAGGGCTGTAAAGCACTATAAAGTGGTATATAAGTCTAAGCGCTATTGCTATAATGCTGTCCCGATTTTTCATATGCAGCACATGATAAGCACGGTGCTTGGCTGACTCTTCTAGCTTTGTAGTTTACTCTTTTCTCCAAATCACCAGTCAGTAGGAAATACCCCTGCCAATCACCAGAAAAGGAGAGGGCCCAGTTGTAGGATTCTACTATCTGTAG